TGCATGTTTTTTTTTTCCTTTTTATTGGTGCTATTAGAAAATTCTGTAGCTCCCAGTGTATTTTAATTTTTGAGTATGAAATCGTTTGATATATGCAAGTACAAAAATAACTCAATTTGTAAAACCAATGTTTAATTTTGCTAAAAATAACTCAATTTGTAAAAATAATGTTTAATTTTGCTAAAAGCCAACTTTTAGGAATACGTGATTGAAATTAGTTGCAAGGGGAAATGTTTAGTATGTTTTTTATGACAAAATTATTTTTATTAAGGTAAATATTAAAGTTCATGCATATTACTTTTGTTCATAGTAATATCTTTATTCATATAATTTTAATTTTAATAGATCAAAGAGGTAGATATAATATTTAACTAAATCATGATCTTTTACATTTAGGTCGATGGAGCAATTAAAGTTGATTGATAAGTTACACTGATACTCGGTAAATCATAATCTATTTGTCATATTGATTTTCTGACTGGTTTACATTAAAATCATATGTGTTAGCAAGGAAAATTTTAATTTTTAATTTTAGCAATATTATAATAAGAAGCATAAAGAATGTTTCTTATGTGAATTTACTTTAAATCAATTTGATATGTAGTATGACCCAATGGAACAAATAAAAGTAAGAAAATATCCATTAGATTGATCAATTTAAAAGGAGGTTGTCATTTTTCTCTTAGACTTGCCGCCATTATTTAAAAATTAAAAAAATAAAAATAAATTTTGAAGAATTAGTTATGTTTAGCCAATACGCTATAAGAAAATATGAACATTTCTAGTGAAAATATATTCCAATGAAATTTCAACGATAATTCTAATGAATATTTCAATTTGATTATTTCTGTTGGAGTTATCCAATAAACTCAAACGAAAATTTTAATAAAAATATTCCGTTGAAATTAGAATTAATATTTTTTTTCTAAAAAAAAAAACTGAGTACCCTTAACTTTTTGTTGATTTTATACAAACATTATATCATGAATAGAAAAGATGGAGAAACATCATAATGAGGGGTCATGTTATGATAAGGCAATAGTTATTCTTGCATGGGAAAAGTTGAGCCACTAAATTAGCTTTTAGGATAAAAAGGTCAATTAAATTCCATATGGCATAAAAAATAATCCAAATGAAATCCTCTAATTGTGTGCTACTCGTTTGCAAATCATTTGGTGAAGGGAATAATAAATGAACCTAACTAAAATAAATTGAACTAAACCGTGGGTGTAATCATTTAATCTCATGTGGTGGTCTTTTTAATAAACGAACAGTATTTTATTTTTACCTTTTTTTATGTTTATTTTAAATAGCAATGCTTTTATGTGATGTCTTAATGAAGGCAGCTGATGGATCATAAATGTCATTAGTTAAGGTAGAGTCTAATTAGCAGTTCAGAAACTGGTTGAGGCTAATAAATGGTGGTACATAAAATGCAGACAATGTCAAACTATTTTTATTCTAAAACTTATTTGATGGTTTAATACTTTAATTTACTTTTTACTGTTATTATTCATCTGTTTCGTTTATGTCACATTTTATCAAAATATTGTTTCATTTTACCTTTATGAAATATTAAAATTTTCATATAATATTATCATGGACGACATGTCAACATATGATATTAATTATATTGGTTAATTAATTATTTTATACATTTATTAAGTTATCTAAATAAATAAAAGTACATTGATTATCTACGTAAATAAAATTATTAAGTAGATTCGTCATACTGTTATGATGATCATGTGGTTATAGATTGTCTAATCGAAATCGGTACTAACTCTTTTAGTTAATTTATTCTTCCACATGCATAATTCTAGCCCAACTTTAATATGTTTATAATTCACGAACTTCTATTTTTTTTTCCCTTAAGAAGCAAGTTTTAGACTGCTTTAACCAAAACTAGTGTGTGGCCCGTGCGATGCACGAGAAAACAATATTAGGATTGTATTATAAACTAAATATATAAATAACATTAATCATAATTTATCCATCGCTTTTAAATTAAACCGGGTTGGACACAGTCCGACCGGATGGACCGAGAACCGGTTTATAACCAATCTAGTTCGCTTAAATAAAATATTTGCTTTCGAATCCGTCAACACTAGTCGGTTGGACTGGTAGGATCGATACGATTTTCGGAATAAATTTTGTTATATTTAAAATTATTTTAGATAAAATTACATATTTAAATAAAATAGTGATTTATAAGTTATTTATCAATTAGTTTAAACATTTGAATTTATGAATTGTTTAGATATTTAAGTAACACATTTTATTTAAATTTATTACAAAAAGTTATATATATATTAAAATGTTTATAAATTAAAATTTGAACAAACCACAAATGATTTAATAAAATAACTTGATCGTTTCGATGACGGTCCAGTTCTGAAAACCTTATATTTACTCNTGAGACAAACAAAAACTACATTTGTCTAGCAATTAGTTGGTTATACCTTTTTCTTTTTATCAAGTATACATAGTTTCTTACATAAATGACATCTTATTAAAAAATAGCGTAAACAAAAGTTTAATATTTTCACATTATAAGTATGCGTCTTTGTTTAAAATGTAAACCAATTTGACCGTTTAACCGTCAAGCTGCCTTACGCAAGAACTTGCACAAATTAAAATAAAAAAATGCAAAAGAAAGAACTTAGAGTGTGTTTATTTATAAAATAACTCAAACTATACTTAGTCCATACTCAATCTAACTCAACTTTAACATAACTTTTATATCCTAAATATTATCAATATAATTAAATAATATCAAATAACTATTTTTACATATTATATCAATTGTAATTTAATATTCATCTACTCACATAATTTGAAATAATCATCACTTCACATTATATCTCTCATACTTTTACATCAAATTAACTTTAATTAATTTATTTTAAATATTCTTTCAATATAAACTTAAATATCAGTAAAAAGTAATCATACCACATTTTCAAAATTAACATAACTAACAAAAAGAACCCGTTTTAATCTCATATATTTGTATTCTAGCACGCACTTATAGTAACTCAAATCTCCAACAAGAGTTGATATAAGTTTTGTCATTTTTGGCTATGTGTTCTTGATAATACATAAAAATAATAAAAAAAAAAAAGTTAAAAAGACTGTAGAATATGGTCATATGGGATTACATAGATGGTAGAAATCAGAATAATTTAATTTTGGGTTGACTAATTTGACTCCAACTCCAAGAAGATGCAGTGTGAACATTTGCAGCAGCAATTTTTGCCTTAGGAAAAAAAGAAGAAAAAACTAGAAAACGTGCGGCCAAAATCCAGAAATTAAATACAGCCCACCACCACGTGCCGTCGCTATCAGCCCAGGGAACCACCCGCCGGACTTCTTTGAAAATCAACTAAGAATTTTCCTCCTCTTTAGCCCCATAAGTCACTCCTAAGTCGCAATCATGTTTGTACCCAAATATAGAATTGGTAATTCATATTCATCCCAAAAAGATATTATAAGATGGTCTCATAACAAATCGATGGGCCGGATGGGACCGTCGGGCCAACGGAGATTTTTCGGACCAATGATACACATCAGTCCATTAACACAACACGATAAAACGTAGATGACAAATGTATCTTTTACCGAATTGAATATGAAGCCTAGATTATAAATTTAACATAGTGTTTTAGAGATGTATATATAAAGATCTCAAACTCTAAACGAAATAAGTAATAATTAAGGGAGAAAAAAATAAGAAATATTAAAAATCATATATATATATACATATAATCAAAATGGACTGGAAATGGTAGAATTCGGTCCCACGACCACTTAGTCCATTGGGCTAGACGTGATGGGTTCAACCAATTGTCATTTGGCTTTTGAAAACACATTATAATAGCGACTTAGGGCCCAAAAGCAAAGATTTTACATCCATTTCAAATTCGGCCAACGAGCACCCTTCAAACAATCCTAGCGAGTAGTAGCCCAAAGCTCGTCTTCTAAAAATTAACATTTCATGAGCAAAGATTGAAAATACGAGACCCATGACAAACCGGGTATTCATATTCAAAACCCACATCCAAAATTGGCAAATTACACGCGACTTGAGTAGGGCCTGTGGAGGCTTGAAATAAGGCAAAGGCCTCTTCTTGAGTCACCCATTTGCCAGTTGGGTTTTAGTATATTATAAGCTAAAAGATTTGAAATTGAAGCAATTATAAGAGCAAAAAAGAAAGTATACATAGAGCATCAGTATAGTAGAAGCCAGAGTTAGGATCATAATAACAACTCATTTTCGGGAAAAGAATTACAGACAAGAACACTCACGAAGTCACGAGGGAAAGAAAAATGTTGTAAGATTACTATTGAGCCAAGAAATTTCACGTTAATCAATCACCCATGAAAAAAAGACGCGATAACCAGTTAAACAAAGGTCTGTCATCATATCCTCTCCTATGCTTAAGAACAGCTGTGTAATAAAATGCTCGTTTATTGTACAACATGCTTTTGTGGTAAAACATTTACGTGCAGCGAGCCATTGGTATACTTTGCTCTAGTGTATTGGCATTTTGATTACTTCATCTGTATAAAGAGCAAAAATCTTGCACTGGTTAGGTAAAACAAAAGATCCCATTATAGACTATCATACTGCTAATGTAAGAAGTCTTTAACCATAACTCAACTCAAGATTCCAAAAACTTGACAAAGTTGAGAAAAATTTATCTAGGACTAATGTAATATAATCAGGTTTCAAGTTTATCGAGTAATGAGCAGACTTAACAATTTTTATGGTCTCTAATGTTATGCCTCCATTTGCATCAGACTGCATCAACCTGAAATGCTTCTTTAGATAGAAGAGTTCATCTGTTGTTGCTGTTTTATTCAAGGCCTGAAAGCACATAAAAAATAATGCACTCTATAAATGTAATTATACAAAGAAACTCTGAACTATATATCCCATTCAAGGCAAGGACACACACAATTTAAAAGTAAAACTTGAAAAAAGTTTGTAGCAACTCCCTTCATTTCATTTATTCAATAAAAACTTATAGTATTTTTTATATCATTTTCAGACAGTCAAAATACAAGTCTTATATCAATCTCTAAGTCAAATACACACCTTTAAGACAGCTTTGCGCAAAGTCAACGATTGCATGTAAGCCTTCATTTGCCAGAAGCTGAAAATATTTTCATAGCCGCACATTAAAAACACTGACAAAATCTACCATTTGAGGTGACAAAAAAAGCTCACATAGATCCTGGGCAGCTGTTAGTCTTCGGCTGGGATCTTTTGTAATAAAAGGCTCACAAAATCCTTCGACTCGGACGAGAGTGAAGGCCAAGGTTTTTCATCAAAACTAGGGTTATATTTCGAAACTGCCTCGAAAATGTCAGAATCTGGTTTAGCACAAGGCGAAAGACAATCGCATTCAGAATCTGGGCAACAACTGCCTTAGCATAAAAACTTCAGAGCATTGATCATCTCTACTAAAGCAAATTAAAACATAGAGATCATCAAAGAAGCTCTCCCCCTTCATCAAGAGAGAAAATAATTCTACACGCTTTTGAAACACAAATCCTCAAAGAGAGAGAGAGAGAGAGAGAGAGACCTCATCAATATCGCATCAAGAAGCTCTTCCCCTTCACACAATTTGAAAATATTAGCACATTTAACATCCAAATGTTATATGATTTAAAAGTCTGGCAGAAAATGCCAGTAATCTGGTAAAGATTAACATGCGAGAAAACTGCAAAAAGCTCAAGTTCTTTCTCAATTGGCGGGTAAAAATCCATTCTATAGCGTGACGTTTAAATAAAAAAAATTCATTGTACAACATATCTCTGCAAAAGTTCAAAAAATCATTACATATAAACATTGTGAGACTTAAAAATATGAGAAATAGGAATGGACACTCACATAGTCCTATGAAATGGACTTCTTTGTGGTGCAGAAAAATAAATAAATAAATAATCAATTAAAACAGAATAAAACAATAAACAACCTGGGTGAGTGATTAACTCAAAGTGTAGTTACAAGTGGGTTATAGAACTATGGTTGAGAAGCTGACTCTGGAATTCTTCCCGCCAAATTGCTGAAGCTCAAATTCCTGAGACAAACATAACACGAATTAGCCATTATTGTACGCATGTCGTTCCTTTTTTTTTTTTTTACTTGGTTTAATTTGTCGAAAGTATGAACTTAGTATGTTATGTAGTACATTGTGCATGATACTTACAGGAGTACCAAGCTCTGAATTGAACCAAAAAACGAAGGTATGGGCAACTCTCTGCACATGGAAAGAAAAATGGTGACAGAATAAAGATCTTTTAGCTTCGAAATCTCAGTTTTGTAAAATTATTCAATGATTCTTACAATGTGAATCGAGATGCCAAGCCTCTAAGAAATTCCAACGAGGAGCTTCCGTTAGTTAGATCACTTATTCTCCTACGCACATCTTCATATGTGATAAATTCATACATATATAAAAAAAGAAAAAGAAAAAAAAAATTGAAGGTAAAGTAAAGTGGCAAATCTGGTAGAAGGAGAACAGGCACATGACAAGGTCAATGGAACACATGAGACATGAAACAGAACTTATGTACCAAGTTTGTATACACTAAGCACGAGATTAAAAGATAAATCATAAGTATTCACTTACCAAAAAATCATATAACGCTAGTTTTATTCTCTGGCAGAGAGTCCAGCGGTAAGAACAATACCTTAAAAATTAAAAATGGCAAGGAAAAATTGAAGCCACAGATCCAAAGGAAATAAATGGAATCAAAGAAGAATAACTTCTGCTTTATTTGTCTCTCCATGAAGTAGACAAAAACTTATTCAAATGTATCTGTTTCCATAATTATTAGTCGATAGACCAAGGCTGTAATTAAACGATTAGATGATAGTAGCAACATCAATAAAATTATATTTAAAATTTCACCCAATGTAAAGCTTAGCGGTACATTACATATAAAGTAACCGGATTTCCTCTGAGATGTCTTATATCTCTTGTTCTGACATCCTCCATCGCTGTCAATCAAAATGCCAAATCTGGCATCCATTGCCTAAGAAGCTAAGGTTCAACACTCTCATGTGACCAACATATTTTAGTTGCCCAAAAAAAAAAAAATGTTAAGTTCTTGATAGATTACCAGACATGGTTGTCTTCAGGTTAGTATCCAAATATTACCTCATACTATACATTTTTCAGAACAAAACAATCTCCACGGATCTAAACAGCTATCACACAATAATACACTTTATTGCTAGAAATGAAGTTGGTTTCAGGTAAATGGAGTCAAGGACATGACAATGAACTTATTGTCTTCAAGATCGTGAAACATAACAGGCAACCTTGCCTCAAACAAGACGACACATAGGGGACGAACTATTTTATGTCTAAAACACTAAAGCAAAGTCTTTTGACATGCCAATTCCACAATCACGTAAAGCTCTCTGAAAGTAAACTTTCTAAATAAGAATTCCATGCATGTTATATACGAGAAGAGTGGATACGTGTTGGAAGATGTGCAGATGCCCGGCGGACACTATTCTACAATTTGAAGGTCAACTTGCCGGTGATGGAGTCTTTTGGGTTCTTCACCAACCTCCGGGATAGGACTTCCGGCCAAATTTTCCAACTAAGCGGTGTTTGAGCACTGGGATACTATCCCGACCCGTTGGATGCCGAGTCCGAGGTGGGTAAGCTGGTGCAGAGAACTCGGAGGGAGGGATTGGGAAGATGAAGCAGTTGTCCGATTACTAGGACGACCTGTGAGTTTTAATTATGAAGAGATTGAGTTGTCCGATTACTAGGAAGAATTTTTAGCTCAATATATTCATAATCAAAACTCACAGGTTGTCCATCAACTGCTTCATCTCCCCCAATACCTTCCTCCTCCGAGTTTCCTGCACCAGCTTACCCACCTCGGACTCGACATCGAGCGGGCCGAGATACATTATATCCCAGTGCTCAAACACCGCTTGTTGGAAAATCTGGCCGAAAGTCCTATCCCGAAGGTTGGTGAATAACCCCAAAAACTCCATCACCGGAGGTTGGCCTTCAAATTGTAGAATAATGTGTAGGCGGGCATCTCCACATCTTCTAACACGTGTCCACTCTTCTCGTAAATAGCTTGGTAGATCACGTCTAGGTCATGCTCGATCGCCTGAATCTCGACCAAGTACATGGGCTCCATAAGACAAGGAGTGGCCGAGAGATAGGTTGCGTGCACAACACGTTCAACAGCCTCGATGATCTGCCGCTCGAGCTCGTCTCTGATGATGCTGTCCCCGGACGTCAATCACGGCTTAAAGCAAACGCTCCTCATCTTCACTCCGACGAGCATGCCCGCCTTCGAGGCTCTCTGAAAACCGGCCACGACAAATTTCCTAATTACGTCAAGATACTCGACGGCTCCTCCCTTGCACTTGTTGACCAAAATGTTTGGGCGAGTGTTGTTGGGCCTGAAGGACCAAATCTTGGCGAGCTCCTTGTCCCAGCCGAACTCCTCCTCGTGCAGGATTTTCGAGTGGGCCTCGGGTTGACCCACCCGTCATCGATGGCCTCGACAAGGCGGTTGCATGTATCGCGAGACTTGCTCACGACGGTATGTTCAAAACACAGCAAACCGACTCGTAGAAGGTCACGATGGGTGAGGTTGTTTTGATCTCTACCCCTCTCATGAAATCATCCTGCAACTCCTTTTTGCAAATCCTAAGATGATTCACCCACACCAGCAATGAAACGCTCGCCCGTCTCCTCAACATGCAGACGACCATAAGGTCCAACTTATTCAGGATCTTCAAACACTCGACGAGTTTCACGTCGTCCTCTGTGACTTGCACTGTATGTCAATTTGCATAAAAGCTGAAACCAAGAAATTCATGGCCCGAATTATGTGAGCATCAACTTTCTCGTCATTTGTGAAAGTAGCACTTTTGGTGATGACATCATCAAGACCAACCAATGTCACTATGTTGCCACACGGGACGTCCTCAATAGTCTCTTGCTGCTTATTATTGCCCATATATATAACCGTACCCTTAACGATGCTCTCGACATACAAATCCTCCTCACCCTCAACAAGATGTACCGATGTTTCCTCGAACTCGATATAGACGATGATGAGACTTACGAGAACTTTTAGAAAATAATTGAGAACACTAATCCTTCGCAATTCCCAGAGAAGGGAACGGTTGCATTTTGTTCTGGGATCGACGGCTGGGCATTCACTATTAGTACTTTCACGAAGAATTACGCATAAAAAATGAGTGGAGACAAGGAGACGATGATTAAGAGGCTCTAAGGAGATAATTTCTTTGATCCAAAGACTAAGGAGTGGACGAAAAGTAGGATGAACTACTTTCCGTCCACTCATCAGTCTCTGGATCAAAGAAATTATCCCCTAGAGCCTCTTAATCATCATCTCCTCGTCCACACTCTGCGTAATACTTTGAGAAAGTACTAAGAGTGAATGCGCAGCATTCGATCCCAGAAGAAAATGCAACCGTTCCCTTCTCAAAGGACACCTAGAATCGCGAAGGATGTCAATAGTGTCCTCAATTATCTTCTGAAAGTTCTCGTAAGCCTCCTCCGTCCATATCAAGCTCGACGAAACACCGGTACATCTTGTTGAGGGTGGGTGAGGAAGATGTGTATGTCAGGAGCGTCGTCAATTGTACGGTTATTTGTATGAGCAAGAACAAGGACGTCTCGTGTGGCTAACATAGTGGCATTGGTTGGCCTTGATGATGTCATCACCAAAAGTGCTACTCTAAACTAATAAATGACGAGAAAGTCGATGCTCACATAATTCGGGCCATGAAATTCCCGTTTCACCTTTTATGTGAGTTGACATACAGTGCAAGTACAAAGAGAACGATATGAAGCTCATCTAGTGTCTGAAGCTCCTGAACAAATCGGACCTTATGGTCGTTTGCCACGTTGAGGATACGGACGAGCGTGTCATTATTGGTGTGGTGAAAGCATCTACAAAAATTTTGCAGGATGATTTTATGAGGGGTAGAGATCAAAACAACCTCACCCACCGTGACCTTCAACGAGTCGGTCCGCTGGTGGTCCGAACATACCATCAATGGCCTGTCGAATGACACTCTCGATTTGGAGTAGCACTAAAACTAACATTTTTTAAATTTGCGTTATGTAGGAAGTTCATGATGAATAAAATGATTTGATTAAGTGTCTCGTAATGATATCTTCAATTATTTCAAATGTTCATATGTAAAAAATTGGTACCTGAAAAAAAAAAAAAGTTTGGTCCTCATGTTACTAGGTTAATTTTGTTTCTCAAGCATTTAAATGTTGCATTGATTTTTTATAATGATAGTTTACATCAATTTTATATCATTATTATACATGAGTATACTCTTAGAAGAATTTAAAAAAAAAAATACAATTTCTAAAGATTGATACTTAACAAGTTTCACGTGTTGTAATCGAGCTATGTGAGTGGATCATTCATTATTTACCTTATCTTAAAGATTTAATTCTCCATTATTTTGTTTTGTGAAAGGGGCTGTTTGGATAAACATTATGCATTTCGATTCTATAAGAAATTGTAATTGTGTGTGACATGACAATTCAACTTACAGATGTCACGGCGTAACAGAAATTCTATGGATTTCTATGAAACCCTCAAATGATTTTCTTATAGTCATCCATCATTTAATGTATTGACACATGTCCAAAGTGTATTTATTGTAGGACAAGTGTCAATACACTATTTGTGAATAAGTATGGATGGCTGAATTTTTCCGAAATGGTTCGACTGAACTGAACCAACGGCTCACTCAAAGTTGGTCAATCATTCGCTTAACTATATGCAGCTCGGCTTGACCATGGTCCGGGTTCGGCATGGCTACTCGAGCCTACACGAACACAGCTTACACGGCTTTGCCGATGCACGATTTGAAACGGTGCCACGATCACTGATGCATGGGCGTGCTTGGACTACGACTAAAGGAACGACGTGTTGACAGTAGGTCGAACAGATTCGGTGCACGGGCACGCAGTTAGTGGTTCGACTCGAACTCAGTGCACGCTCACGCCTTTGGAAGTTAAGCTCCATCACTCGGACGAAGATTGAACACGTGTGCGGGACGTCTAAACGCGTTTATGATACGTGCTAAGGCGTGTCGGTTGAAAAATTCCGATCGCTCCGGACACACAACCTAGATTGCCATCTTATGCTCGGTTATGACCCCGTCAGCGACTAACGGACGACCGACCACGTTCCGACACCCAAGGACTAATTTATAATCTTATGACATCTAAAGTTGTTTAAACGAAACTAGGGTTCACATGATAAAACTCAGATCCAAAATTTACCCAATTCCGAGAACCGAATAAAAACTATAACTTGATTTAAGTCGATATTTAAAACTTACGTTCTATGTGATTTATAGGATATTATATCCAACAACTGCAGTTAAAATCACAACCTGTTAATTTCTACAATTATCGAATTATCCCTTTTACTCGGCTAAAGTCCCAATTTTTAACCTATATCAAACGCATCCAAAAATCACAAAATTCGAAACACATCATCCTCGACATACACATGATCTATGGTCAACATATCAAGTCTAAATTCAACTCCTAATCCTAACCCCATTCAACTAGAACGAGTATCAACCGATCAAATACACATAAAATTGGTTCGCCTATCATACAAACCCCAAAATTCTCAAATTCGCACCTCAGGACAATTTATTCTGATTTACAAAATTATAAACACCATTTTATCACTTGTATATTAAGAGATATAGAAATCGATCGTTTCAAGCTCGTAAAATCCCGATAAATTCAATCTCACTCAAATCTTCAAATCAATCATTTTACATATCTAAGCCATTAGAGTCTGGTTCAAGCCATTTTACCTCAAATCAGCTTGAATCGGAAAATCGGAAGAGGGTCGGGAAAATCAGATCCGCTAATGAAAACGGGTTGGCTCACGTTGAGAGGGTCTCGGCTGCTGGTCGGGACGCGTACTGGTCTGGCCTGAGGTCATGCTGGCCCGGTTCGCGCCGATCGAGGCGGCTCAGGCGTGGATCTGTGGTGTGGACGCGGACCTGGGCTCGACTGAGGCGTGGCGTCGCGAGTCTGGTGCTGTGGGACCAGGAGGCGCGCGTACGGAACGAGTAGGGATGCAGATGGTCAGGTGCGGGCTGGTTCACGCTGGTTCGGACTCCAGACTAGCGGGTGGACGGACCTGGCGTGAAGACGCGTCGCTGGACCCGCGCGCGGTACGGACAGGGGGCTTGCAGCGTACGGACGGCGAGCAGGGGCCCTGGGGTCGATGGGACGCGCGCGTACGTGGTGCAGGATGGACGGGACCGCGAGCTCGAGCTACTGCTGGGTCGAACAGAGGTGCGATCGAACGGAACGATCAGGGGCTGGTCGCGGCTGAGCTCGCCGGCGCAGGTTCGACAAAAACTCGCCGGAACTCGGTGGTGGCTAGCCGGAAAACGTGAATGGTGACCGGATTTATGGAGGAAGAGGGCTATGAAGCTTGAAGATGAGAGTGGATCTTGAAGACGAAGGGGGAAAAGAGATGTTGAGCTAGGATTTGAACAAGGAATGTGGTTGATGAAAAATGTACCAAGAGTTCTATAAATAGGGGAGAGGAATACTAGGGTTGGTGTGTCTTCTTGGGCTTAAAAATCGGGCGTAGTGCATTGGGCTCAATTTAATCAATGTTGACTTAGGAATTAAATGTTCGGGCTCAATTTAAATCGATCAGGACTTGGACTAAATAAATTAGTCGGTTGATTTAAGCAATAATAGACTTGGATTTAAAAATCGACAATAGGCTCGATTTTTAATTTAAAATTGAACTTGGGCTCGATTTACTAAAATGGGCCGGAATTAAAATAAATTGGGCCAGCTAAAATAATTGGACTCGCTCGAAAATGATTTTGGATCGAGGCTCGGCTCGTCCGGGCTTCGACCCGACTTAATAAAATTCCGATGGTTTCCAAGGGGGGCATTGGGCCCCACTGGAAATTTTCAAAATAATTAGGAGTATTTTAGTAAATTTGCAATAATATTAAAAAAAATGAAAAAGAAATACCTAAGTAAAATCGGATGAATGGTGGAACAGTATGCCCAAAAAAAACCTTGAGATTCAAGAATTTCATTTTTAATATGCGGTTGGATGAAAACCTCTCGAATGTAGTCAATATTGGAGATCTTGCTCAAAAGATGGTGTCTAGAAGAAAACATGACATCTTTTCATTGGTTTACTTTGTTGTTGATTTTATCAGTTGCCACTGCTACAGTGGAAAGAGCTTTTCCGACAATGAAATTCATCAGAAGTACACTACATAACTGAATGGACGATGAGCTTTTGAATGATTGTTTAGTGGCATACATCGAGAAAGATATATATGGGCGATGAGCTTTTGAATGATTGTTTAATGGCATACATCGAGAAAGATATATTTCGTAATGTTAGCTATGAGATTATCATGAACAATTTCAAAACATGAAAAATAGAAGAGAAATGTTGTGACCTTATCGTAAGTTATTTTTTTTAATACTCGGATATATTACTTATGTTTATTTAGTCGATACTTGTAGTGTTTTATTTATTTTTGATTGATGTTTTTTTTATTTGTATTATTAGTTGGGCCCCCTCGATAAAATTCCTAGATCCGTCATCAAGCCAAGAAATTTCACGTTAATAATCATCAAAAGTATACTACGTAACTAAATGGGCGATGAGTTTTTGAATGATTGTTTAGTGGCATACAGCGAAAAAGATATATATGAGCGATGAACTTTTGAATGATTGTTTAGTGGCATACATCGAGAACGATATATTTCAAAATGTTAGCTATGAGATTATCATGAACAATTTCAAAACATGAAAAATATAAGAGAAATATTGTGACATCTCAATGTTATCGTAAGTTATTTTTTTTAATACTAGGATATATTACTTATGTTTATTTAGTCGATACTTGTATTGTTTTATTTATTGTTTTATTTATTTTCGATTGATGTTTTTTTTTTTGTTCTTATTAGTTGGATCCCCCTCGATAAAATTCCTAGATCCGTCATCAAGCCAAGAAATTTCACGTTAATCAATCACCCATGAAAATAGACGCGAGAACCATTTAAATAAGGGTCTATCATTGTATCCTCTACCGATTTCAGAGGATCGTCTCAACTCTCAAAGGAACAAGTGCGAGTGATACTTATTAATCACAAAGACATGTCCTTTAGCATCTATTAAGTTGGCCAGTTCATTTTACAATTCCAACTTGCATACACAAACGACAAAACAACTCTTTATTACCGCAGGCATACCCGAACCAACAGAAGTCCCTTTGATTAATATCTTCAGTAGTCCCTTTGATTAATCTCTTTAGTAAAAAGTGCCTGTGCATTAGTCTCTTGCCTCCCTAAAAGTCTCCAATTCCTTGTGGTAACTTCGCTTTGCTTTCTGGCGAACTTGTGTACCGTACATCACTAGACTTGTGTACCATAAATTACTTTCACCACTTGGCCACCATCTTCACACTGATAGGTTCATCTGCCTCTGCATTTCAACTAACAATCGCTTGATGTGATCGAATGAGGTGAAAAGTTACATACAAAAAACATCTACCATTAACACATTAAAGGTTTCACAAGTTTAGCACTTCATAAATGTAACTGAGATTTTTAAGAAAAAATGTCAAACCAAATGATGAGATGTACAGAGGATTAAATTAAACCCGCAAAAAACAAACAATATTATCACATCGGATATGAAGTCTGAATAAAATCTCGGATTAGGGTTTTCACAGTCGAAAATGGTCAATCAAAACAACCCTTCACCATCGTGCAATCTTTGTTTCATGAGAACAACATTAAACCGACTTGAGCTCAAGATTTAAAATATGACAACAGATTGCACAACAAAAGAACACAGAACAAAACCTCACATTCTCATCCTTGAACCATCTGCCATGGCAATCTCGTTTCCACCCGGCAGCCGTGAACTTGAGCTCCCTCTCTACCTGTTCTCTATAGTCCAATTTCGGTACCTTTCTAACAAAACCTTCGTCTGTACCTTCAAATCGAATGCCTTTAGCACAACCGCTACAATTTTCAATACTTGGCACCGTTGAATGACCGGTCTCAGATTTCGGATTATGCTGAGTAGCTTGGCCAAGAAACACCTCAGATGCAGCCTTCCTGGCTCGTTCGATTAAGCGATTTTGGGAATTTATTTTCCGATGACCGATCGAACGATTGGAAATAACACAATCTGGTAATTGTGATCATTTTTTCGCTTCTTGTTGTATATATAATTCTTGTTCTATATTCCTCGACTTGGCAACTTTGTGGCGTGAGCCATTCACATGTGTCTGTGTACAAAAAACACAATAATTCGCTCAGAATCAAATTCCCTACTCAGCCCAGATAAACTGGAAGCTTGTAAACCTTATTAAAAACCTTAGCAAGCAACAAAATTGAAACCAAAATCCTCATATACGAAGAAACCCTAACGTTTCCCCTAAAATTGCAGCCACTGTCATCAATAGGAGAAGAGTATGCAACCTGAGGAAACAAAATATTAAGAAACAATTGTAGAAATTCTTACTGAGAGCATAATCGGGGTGTCGAGAACGGGATTTTGGGGGCAAACAAGGCAAGCGAATTTGGCATTGGCAAGCCTCTTGTAAGCAGAAGCTTCGATGCCGTCGATTAATAGATCGTCGACTCTCCTCTTCCGGCATTACGCCTCACGCCCCCAGCTGTCGCCGCCGAACACGCTCATCGGAAAAGCTTGTGATCGGGAAAAAAACACCCTCCGGCAATCTGAGCAACACTGAAAAAGTGGCCAAATTTGATTCAGATTTAAAGGAAACTAATAATTACCCGTGCGATGCACGTGATAATATTTTTTTAACCATTTTATAATATTTAAATATTAAAATTAATGAACTTGATATATTTGTAACAAAAGTAAACACGTTGGGATCAAACTACATAATTCATAAATTATTGAAAGCTTCTTTGTACACAACGTTTTTCGTTTGATTTGGCGTCGAGTCATCGTCACCACAAACTAAAATTTTCAAACCACTTCGGGTGATAACACGAGATACAGCAACGTATAACTGTCCATGGTTGAACACAGGCTTCTTAAAAAATAAACCAACATGCGACAACGATTGTCCCTGATTCTTGTTGATAGTCATGGCATACGATACCATAATAGGAAATTGACGCCTCTGGAACTTGAAAGGAATTCGGACATCGGAAGGAGTAATAGCCATTCTAGGAAGCAACACCTTCTCGTCTGCGTGATCCCCAGTTAGTATCTTACACTCGATAACATGACTGGAGAGTTTTGTGACAACCAACCGCGTCCCATTGCATAGACCCATAGAATGATTCATGTTACGCAACAACATGACGGGAGTTCCAATCTTCAAATGCAATTGATGATTTGGAATTCCGGAACATTTGATACTATTTAAGAATTCAGGCGTGTGGATATCAGACAGGAAATCGTTATTAGAGTCGGACTTGCAAGTACTATCAGAACTTAAATACATTTGACCGTCAGATAAATTCAACGATGTCATGTACTCATTGATAGACTCAACAACACCTAGCGTAGGCGCTAATATTGCCCTGTCCTTTAAATAACTGGGATCATCGGTTGCCTGCTTAAACATTGGATAGGTGCTCTCTACAATTTGGGCAATCGGATCATCAGAGGGCTGAAGCATTATATCCTCAGGTATGTCAATCATTGCACAACCATCATTATCCCCTCCTATGATTCCATCTCCAATGCTCGCTATCCATTCTGCGAACCGAGCAACCTCTTCACGTTCTTCTGAATTCTGAAGGCTTTCAAGACGCATGTTTTTCGTAAGCCGGAGCACAGTACAACTCCTCCAGATATCAGAAGCATTAATTGCAGATTTCACTATGTCCTGACGGCTACCCTTCGGTATTACAAGAAGAATTTGTCGAAAATCTCCACCAAACACAACCGATTTGCCTCCAAATGGTTTGTCCTTGTTAGAAGGATCAATTGCTCCCATAATATCCTGCAATGATGTTTGGACAGCTTCTAAGCAATGCTTGTGCATCATTGGAGCCTCATCCCAAATAATCAGAGAAGCACGTATTATCAATTCTGCGAGACAACTTTCCTGACTGATATTGCAAGAGGATTCCTGGTGGGGATTCAATGGTATTCCAAATCGAGAATAAGCCGTTCGTCCACCAGGCAACAAAAGCGATGCTATTCCACTCGATGCTACGCACAACACTATGCCACCTTTGCATCTAATACCAGCAGATAACGTTCTCCACAAATAAGTCTTGCTCGTTCCACCATATCCGGATACAAAAAAAACACCGCCTCGACCAGAATCAACAGAGGACATAATGGTTGAATAAACTCCTTTCTGTTCATCGGTCATTTTCTTAAGAAGCATTTCGTTTTCAGCAGCAAGAGCCTTTCGATCGTAATTTAACTCATCCATAATCAGACGATTTGAACTTGAATGCATACTATCACGATCAGGAAAGGGCATTGTTGAATAATCACTCAGACTTGCTCCACGACGTTTCAATAAATATTCAATCTCAGCAAGAGCAAGATTTTGGATTTGTTCGTCAGTAAGCAACAACCCTATAATCAAAATGATACATAAGCAACACACCAATATCAAAATAAATGGAGATTGAAGATAATAAATAAAATATAAAAATTACCATCATTGTTGAATAGTCGACGTTGTTTATACAGAATGTCGTCCGACAAAAATGGCCAAGATCTTGTCCATACCTCCTCCGGTCTACCAAAAGAACCAGAAACCAACAATGACGCAAACATGAGTCTTAGAGAGTCTGCAGATGCCCACTGACTTGCTTCAGTTATGCCATCAATGTACTCCCTGTCATCCTCCAACAAACCCCATTCATAGCAAGCATCTCGATATGTAAGATATTGAGTCTCTCCGACCTTCATGTAGTCCTCATGACATGTTGCACCACGAACGACATTGACCAAACACCTTAAATAGTAATCATCGCCACAACCGGGAGGCACGTACCGCAGACGGCCTACAGATGGTTGGTTTTTGTTTTTCCTAGGAGTCCACACACGCGTTTTTGGATTCCACACGAATTTCGAAGGTGCTTCAACATAAGTTAGTTCTCTCGCCTTGGGCTACTTTTTGTTTGCCTCAAACCACGCAAGAAACTGACTCTCCTGTACAGATTCTTTACTGAGTACATACTGAAGATTATCATCATCATAAAAAAAAAAAAACTTGATGCTTTCCTTTCAAATGGAAACTCAATCGCTGGACAAGAGGTTTTTTGTACTGCAACTCATAACCCAACAACCGCCATGCAGCCTCACATGAAGATATGTACCTGCAATCATAGTACATGTTAATCTCATCCAAAGGCTTTTCAGGTTCCCCTTCGGCAGACGTTTTATAGAAGGATGCCGTCACACGATCGTGTCCCTTATTTACATATTTGAAAAGGTATTTTATCGATCGTGATTGATTGCACCACTCAACGTTTATGTGAGCTCTGTACTTCATCAAAAGACCACGATTATGAGGCACGACATATCCATTGTGGAGAACAACACCATTTTTATCAATAGATCTCCCATCATCACGACGCCTGTAGCGAGGATAACCTTCATCATCAACGGTTGTTGAGTCTACAAACTGTTTTGGAAACCGCTTGCTGCATTTTCCATCAACCATACACGGCGACCCTTTTCGTACCAAACCACATGGACCATGAATCATGTGCTCCTTTACTGCTTCATAATACAGAGGATCGGATAATTCATCGGGTATCTCAGCTGATATGATTCTGTCAATATCTGAAGGATTAGGGAACTTATTCTCCTTAGCTAAAAACAATAGTATATGAGCATGAGGCAATCCACGTTTTTGAAACTCAATTGTGTAGACGACTGCAAAAAAAAAAAAGACGTATAAAAAAAAATGAACAAAGTTATATAATGATATTGCTTAAATTAAACATAACTAAAGAAGATATTGGTGTATGATAAATGTTATGGAATAATATCTTACCTGCAATCACCTTGCCAAATATCTGCCTTTTACGGAAATCCCTAATCATTTCCTTAAGTTTTGTCCTGAATACTCTACAAACAATATCTGGTCTATCCTCCACTCTTAAATTCCTTGCCTCAAGAAAACGAACAATTTCCGGCCATTTTGGATTGCAGGTGAATGTAATAAATAAATCAGGATAGCCAGCCCATCTACAGATTGCCATTGCATCTTGATAATTCTGAATCATGTTGCGAGCACCCCCAGTGAAAGAAGATGGAACAATAACCCTCTTTCCTCGAGAACATGGTTCAGTGTCCCCACGAAGAACGGCATCGACCAAACCATTATACATTTCGCAACGGAGTTTCTTTTGATTGAACCGTATGTATCGCAACCTCGATGATTCGACCATGGTATACGCATCAACAATAAATTGTTGATATAGTCTTCTGGCGGAATAATAGTCGATGGTTCATGATCCCTATCATGCATTCTGTATGCGAAATACTCCCGCACACTCACGTGTTTGCGACCATCTTCACTTTCCTTTTTACCTTCAGCAAATGGTATGTCTTCTCGGTAACCATCCTCACCATAAGGCAACAAAAGAGGATACTGTAGTGCCAAATATGAAGCATTCAACTCATTTATACGCTTCAAAAGACCACTTTTGGTTTCAACTAATATGTCCCTATCACCCATTGCCAGATCAAAATCTCCAACAACCAATACAACAAGTTCAGAACTCGTAGGTAAGTTATAGCGCCTGGCATCATTATACCTCCTTCCAATAAGACGAACTCTAACATTTGCTTCTCCAAGTTCTTGCATTCTGTCCCTGACCATACGAAATGATATTACCAGTTCGTTATGTTGGTCTAACATCTCTTTCAACCCAACAACAATTGCCTCATGCAATTTGGTATCATCAGATCCTTTCCTGTAACATAAATCAAAACCAACAACCAAAATAATTTAATATTATTATAATATATAACATTGTATTGTAATTAATGAGATGAAGATAATGATTAAGAATTAAAACACATTACACATAAAAAATAAGTATGTGAAAAAAATTATATTATATACCTCACAACATTAATTCTGTTGGAGACCTCGTTTTCCGTATCATATATGTAAAGTTGGGCAAACTTAGGAGTAGAACCTTCTAAAGGAAGCAAACTACCAATTAGATGGTAGTTTTGTCCGTGTAAAGCAAAAACAGGCGGTCCTGATCCCTTATTGATATCGGCATCAATTTTACCGCCCATTGATGTAAAACCGAACATGCTGTTGTAAGATCGTATTTTTTCTTGAAAATGTTTACTTATTTGGTCATCTCCATAAAACAAATCTTTCAAAAATTGAGGAGGATCTTGTGTTGAAGGAAGATCTACGATTCCATTAACACAACAACCCGTATAATCAGGAAAAACTGCATTCTGATCATGAGCTTTTCTTTCCTCGTACCAAAACTTTGCTCCGCAATGTCTACAACAGTAGCTTGCATCTCCCATGTCCCAGTATTCTGAAAATACAATTTAAAGTCAAATATTTCAGATTTAATTTTTGAATGACTAAAAAATATTTAAATAATATTGATACTTTAAATGGAACAAACCAGGTATTCTTGAAGTAGACACACGAATTTTTCTAGGACGACCACGCTTTCTTTTTTCAACAATGGGCTGAAAGGGATCATCCTGAGTTAGATCAACATTTTCGGTGCAGTAAGAGTTGTATTTTCATTATC